GGCCAAACCAGGAGCTGGGCATGCAATCCAGGTCTCCCACGTGGCAGGAACCCAACTACTTGAGCTATCACGGCTGCCTCTCAGAGTGTGCGTCAGCAAGGTACTAGATCTGAATTTTCACAACTGCAAACACCATGTGAATGTCACAAGCCATTATTACGTATGGATGTATTATTTAGCTACACAATAAGACATTGAAATGGAAGCTTCCCAATGCTGTTTTGCACTAATACAAGAGATAAATTCCAAAGTGCATGTGGACACAGACTGATGGCTATGCTTTGAGTGCCCCACCAGAATCAGGCTGGGATCGCCATTGTGAGCTATTAAGAGAGCGGACACTTAATTTGACTATGGTCTTTGGAAGTGGGAATGTTTGAGAGGCAATTAAGGTTAAACAAGGCCATAAGGGCGGGGCCCTAATCCAACGGGACCGTGGCTTTTTAAGAAGAGAGACCTTGGCTAGGACACTCAGACCCTCTCACCATGTGACACCCTGCACTGCCTTGGGACACTGCAGAGAGTCCCCACCAGGAGGAAGGGCCTCTCCAGATGTGGCCGCCTGATCTTGAACTTCCCTGAACTGTGAGTTGAATAAATCTCTTTTCCTTATAGATTACCCAGTTCATAGTATGCAGTTACAGCAACAGAAAATGGACTAAGACACAGACTTTATTTTTTTTAAGATTTATTTATTTATTACACACAGAGAGAAGGAGAGGCAGAGAGAGAGAGAGGTCTTCCATCCACTGGTTCACTCCCCAAATGGCCTCAGTGGCTGGAGCTGGGCTGATCTGAAGCCAGGAGCCAGGAGCTTCCTCTGGGTCTCCCACATGGGTGCAGGGGTCCAAAGACTCAGATCATCTTCCACTGCTTTCCCAGGCCATAGCAGAGAGCTGGATCGGAAGTGGAACAGCCGGGTCTTGAACCGGTGCCCATATAGGATGCTGGCACTGCAGGCGGCAGCTTTACCCGCTGCGCCACAGCGCCGGCCCCAAGACACAGACTTTATAAAAGGCATTCTCAAATGCCCTCAAGAATTCTGATTCCAAAAGCACAGGGAGAGGGATGCAGGGGGAAGGGAGAGGAAATGAGGGTTTGGGAAGAAGACTTCAGAGAGGTCTCCGCAGTGCTTTCGGTACCCCTCCACCCCAGGTGGGGGGGGGTCAGCTGCCTTCTACCCTCAAACCTTGTGAGAGGGTACATCAAGAGGACCCTTCACAGGAGCTGCTATGCATTCTGTGCGGTGGGGAGCTAGGCTGGAGTCTGAGTTGAGACAGCTGGTGACAGTGGGGGAAAGGGACCACACCAGGATAGCCTGAACTTTTGCAAATGGGAGCCAAGGGAGCACCAGAGCCTGCCTGGAGCCTTCTTTGGTTAACCTTTCTGGAAATCCAGATCCACATCGCAGGGTGCACATCAGGTTCACAGCCTGATGCATTTTCACAAAGTGGACATTCCCCCACATTAATTAGCAGTATCTCAAAGGCCCCTGTATTCCCCGGTCAGTCCCCGCTACCCGTCCGGGTAACCAGTATCTTGACCTCTGATCGCACAGATTGGTTTTGTCTCTTTGTTCCGTATATGAATGGAAGCACACAGTGCGCTCCCTTGAGTGCCTGGCTTCATTTGCACAGCATCGTATTTGTGAGAGCCATCCTTATTGTTGTATGTAATTGTGAATAGGTTATTCTGGCTCCTGAAGAACATTGCATTATGCGAATATTCCACCAGTTATTTATCCATTGTACCATTAATAGATACTTGGGCTGTGCTATGGTTTGAACAAGTCCCCCCAAAGTTCATGTGCTGGAAACTTAATCCCCAATGCAAAGTGCTAGAAAATGGGGTCTAGGAAGCAGTGATTACGTGATGAGGGGTTTGCCTTCCTGAATGGATTAATATCGCTGTTGAGGGAGTAGGTGAGTTATCGCGAGAGGGGCTCATTATAAAAGTGAGTTCAGGCCCTCTCTTGCTATTTTGTGCTCTCTCGCCCTTCTACCTTCCACCATGGGATCATGCAGCATGAGGGTCCTTGTCCAGTACTGTGAGAAAGAAATTTGTTTCCTCTCTAAAAATTACCTAGCCTGCGGCCCTCTGTGAGAGCAGCCCCAAACAGGCCAGGACAAGGTAGTTCCCAATCGGTAGTTTCCAATGAATATTTATGGACATTCTCACACATGCCTTTTGGTAAACATGAATGTGGTTTTCTTATGAATATATTTAGGAGTGGCATTTCAGGGTCATAGAGGTGGTATTTATTAAAAAACAAAACAAAAACCTCTAGCAGAGTTCTAGGTCTTTCCCAAGAGAATTTTTTTGGAGAGAGTATGGGTTCAAGCCCCCACTCGCACCTCTCATTCTCTGCCCAAGAACCAGGGGACAAGCAGGGAGTGGTTGTTAGAGAAACATAAGAGCCGCAGTCAAAGGAATTGCACAAAGGCACCTCCCATGAGCCCCATGGAGGAAGCCACGTGCCCAGGAACACAACCCGGCCGACAGAAGCGTTCTCATCTAGCACAGCATCAGTCCGGTCTTGACACCAGGGTGCAGGAGGGCAGCGGCTAGCCTTTGGGCTCTAGTTTTGGACACCTGCTTTGCCTCTAAATCCACGAATTGGCTGAGTGACCTTGGGAAGGTCATTCTTCCTCTGCAGGCCTCACTCTCCCCATCTTTCTGATGTGTGGCTCCTTTCCGTCCTGAACTTGGGTTTCCCTGTGTTCTAACCTCCCTGAGAACAGGAGCCACACAGCCTCTTTCTCCTGAACTCCTAGAGAATACTCCAGAGTCAACACTTACGAGCACAGTAGGCCACTGGACAACAGATGTCTTGTAATTTCATTTTCCAAAGAAAAACTGCTTTTATGAGTCCAGTGATGCATGTAACAAGGATTAAATTGGGGCATGAAAATTAACAACATGGTGTGCGTGTGCCTGTCCAAATACAGATGCTATACTGCATGCCACTTTATGGAAAAATTCATTTCCATTCCAGTCACACACAACTGATCTTCTCCAGAGGAACACAGCAAAGACCATGTGTGCATTATAAATTTATCGTCACCCTCTTATCAAAGGTCATTAGGTAACTAGAAAATCCCAACCTAGATGCACACCCTTCTGTTCATCCGAGAACTTGTTTTAGCATTTCGCTACTACCTTGTTCCTCATACTTAGCATTTAAAGGTTATATATAGAAAAAGAGACGACTCCAGACATTCTGCAGTCACCGTCTGGAACGGCATTATATTTCCACAGGATAGTCTCACTCAGGCAAAGAGAAAGCAGTTTTACTGGGGAAGGAATTATTCCATTGTGCAAGATTAGCCAAGCAACGAGAAATCACACTGTGTGCTCTTTTCACCGGAGTTCGTTAGGACCCTGTTCATGCTTGAAACGCGGGGCTGCGGAGGGAGAAAGGCTGTTTCCCAGGGACGCTTTCGGCAGGCAGGTGAGCCCCGATGTGATTTTGTTTCCCAGGAAATTCTTTCTGGAATTCCCCTGGACTTCCCTGACTTGCTTCACCCACCAGCAAGCTTGGTTCCTTGAATGCATTCCCTTTAGCCAAGAAAAACCGAACTTGCCTTCTCCCCACCCCCAAGGGCCTTAAAGGGAACTGACTACGCCAACTGGGTGTTGTTCCAAAAGTTTGCTGGCAGAGAATTCAGAACAGATTTTCTTCAGTTCCATATGAATGACTTTGGGCCCCCAGCTGGCCACCAGAGCCTTAACGATGGTCAAGAGACTAGTTATTGGGGAGAGTGGTATTCCCTATGATACCCACTCAAAGCAAGCTCGCTCTCTCTCACTCTCTCACTCTCTGTCTCTCTCTGTTTCTGTCTCTCTCTCTCTCTCTCTCTCTCGCCTACTCCACCTACTCCACTCTGCTTGTAACTTGTGGGAGTGAAGTGTGCAGGACAGGAAGAGGAGCTGGCAGGCACCCAGAAGGCTCAAAGTGGAGGCTGGGGTTTCCCAGCAGTGACAGGAAGGGGAAGGGGAACAGAGCAGGGATAGGCCCAGCCCTGAAGCAGGGGACCCAGCTGGGAGTGTTTACAGCTTCAGCTGCATTGTGGAGGAAAGTCCCAGAACAGAGGGGTGATTTTGCTCGTGAGACATTGGTGACTTGGGCGGTCACAATTAAGGGACTGTTCCAATCAATATACAAGTGATACCACTGAATCCTAACCTTTCTTTCTGCCTTAAAAAAAATTTCCATGGGCTATTTCAGATATATGGAAGGTATACAGAACAATAGGACACCCAGCTTCAGATACCAAACATCTCAGACGCAATTGGAGCCCTCTACAGACCAATTCTCAGTCTCGTTCTCTCCACCTCTGAGACAACAAGACATTTGGTGTTATTATTTTTATGTGGATTTTTATTCTTGTATTACATATAGATCACACATGTATATATATTATAAGTCTTATGTAAATTACATAGTATCATAAATCATTAGGGATATATATTTATGCAGATTTATAATATTTTGACACGTTAAAAAATTTTCTAGGGGCCAGTGCTGTGCCATAGAGGGTAAAGCCGCCACCTGCAGTGCCAGCATCCCATATGGGGGCAGGTTCGAGTCCTGGCTGCTCCACTTCTGACCCAGCTCTCTGCTATGGCCTGGGAAAGCAGGGGAAGATGGCCCAAGTGCTTGGGACCCTGCACCTGCATGGGAGACCCAGAGGAAGCTCCTGGCTCCTGGATTCAGCCTGGCACAGCCCTGGGTCATTGTGGCCACATGGGGAGTGAACTGGCGGATGGAAGATCTCTCTTCTTTTCTCTCTGTCTTTCCCTCTCTCTGTATAGCTCTGACTTTCAAATAAATAAATCCTTTTTTTTTAAAAAAAGCATTCTAAATGGTAGTGCACTGCATGAGAATACTTCAAGAAGTCTGTGGAAACATGAAAATTAAAAGGTTTAAAACAAATTTGAAAGCTGTGCGTAGCTTTTTCATAATATACATGTCCCATGAACTCTTGGAAGACTGCTCATTTGTGTCTTTCTGCCATTTGCTTTTTTTTTTTTTAAGATTAATTAATTTATTTGAAAGGCAGAGTTACAGAGAGGCAGAAGCAGAGAGAGAGAGAGAGAGAGAGAGAGAGGTCTTCCATCCACTGGTTCACTTCCCAGATGTCTGCCATTTGCTTTTTCTCTCTGCCACTGGGTTTGAAAAATTGGCCCATGCTAGTCATGTTAACTGCTGTCTAGTACTCCCTTTCTGAACAGGTACTCCTTTCCAGCCAGCCAAACTCAGGGCCCGTCCAGGCAGGCCCTCACTCCTCTTTCCTGCCTCACGCAGGATGTTGGAGTCTTTCTTTTTTCAAAAAAAAATTTTTATTTATGTCTTTCCATTTCATCTTAAGGGCAGAGAAACAGAGAGACAAGACCGAGAGAGATCTTCTTCCCTCTACTGGCTCACTCCTCAAATGCCTGCACCAGCCAGGGACTCCATCCAGGTTCCCCACATGGGTGGCAAGGACTAAAGGTCCACGGAGCCGTCACCTGCTGCCCTGAGGCTGTGACACGTCAGCACGAAGCTGGCCCTCAGGAAGAACCAGGATTCCAACCAGGCAGATGCAGACACCCCAAGTGGGGACTTAGCCACCTCGTCAATGTCCCGCCCCAGATGTTGGATTCTTAATTCATAACACAAAGCATCCACACAGTCCAGGTGCCCCACCCAAGCCCTCCTTCCTGGGCCTCAGGGAAAGCTGCCATTTGAAATGGCCGGTTGCCTGGTGAGTACGGGTTCAGAACATTATCCGGCCTTGAGAGAGAACCTGTCCTTGCTGTGGAATAAGGGATGACGAACTGCCTCCAGCCCTGGTGGCTGAGTGAGTCACAGCCCAGGAATCCCCTGCCTCTTCCCCCTGGAGGCAGTGCAGGTCACTCTGTCAAAACGCTCACCCTTTAAAAGGGGAAAGGAATCCTCAGAATGTCAAGTAACAGAATCACAAGATACACGAACTGGAAAAGGACCTTGTCCCTACCTCCTCCCCTGACACCCCAACACCAGCCAGGCCAACCATGTGCGACTTCAGGAGCGCAGGATCTTTGTAGAAGAGGCAGAGGGCGAAGACTTGAAAAGCAGCAGAGGCTGGGCATCACCTTAGTGGTTAATCACTGGTGTGCAGAGCCACCTCTCACTCAGCTCAGCTCAACCCAGCTCAGCTCGCCCGGGCAGGGGACCTCCCGGCACTAGGCTGTGTCCCAAGATTTCTGGCACTCAGTTTTCTGGCCTGTGTCAAGCATTCTTTGAGAATTGCCTGGCCAGTCAAGTGCCAGCACCTGCCCCATTGTTCTTAGCAGGGTCTCTGAAGTTGGAAAAGGGCTCCTTAGCATTCTAACAGACAGCTTTGACCAGTGATGCCCAAAACCAGACACAGCCTCTCTGCCCTCTGCTTCTTGAAGATTACATTAGAGTGAATGATGCTATGAGCAGCTTTAGGAAGGTCAGGGAGGGCTTCCTGGAAGAGGCGAGGCTTGGGCTGCTATGAGAAGCAGAAGTAGGTGTTAACACAGCGAAGAGGGCAAAAGGAGCTTTGCAGAAGCAACAACATACATGAAGGACAGGAAGATGGCCATGTGTCCAAAGCATGGCACACGGACTTGCCGTGGATAGGTACCCAGGCCTTGGCTTCCTCTGATAGCAGGTCCTAAAGAACAGAGGCCATCAGTGTGGACTGAATGAGAGGCAGAGGAGCAGTCAAAACAGGGGCCCCAGGAAATGACCCATCTGCTTTGTGTTCCTTATTTCCGCTCTCTTTAGCCTTTTCTGCCTTTACAGTCCACCCCCTCTGCCCAGCGCATTAAAGCGCCTTTCTATTTTTGTAAACTGCATGCTGCCTGATTCATAGATTGCTATTAAAAGTCAATTAGAGCTTTAAAAGCTCAATTTGCTGAAATGTTGTTCTTTGACAGGTGCCTCCCAGGCAGGTAAAGCCAGAGCAAGCATCTGCCTTCTTTTGTTTACACGTGTGCCCTTGCACAAGTACTTGTACACCTGCTTCAAGCAAGATCCAACACCTAGGGGCCAGTGTCGTGGCCTAACGGGTTAAGCCTCCACCTGAGACGCCAGCATCCCATATGGGCAGCGGTTTGAGTCCCGGCTGCTCCACTTCCGATCCAGCTCCCTGTTAATGTGCCTGGGAAGCCAGTGGAGGATGGCCCAAGTATGTAGGCCCCTGCACCCACGTGGGAGACCCGGATGAAACTCCTGGCTTCAGACCAGCCCAGCTGCAGCCGTTGTGGCCATTTGGGGGAGTGAGCCAGTAGATGAAAGATTCTCTCTCTCTTTCTCCCTCTTTCTGTAATTCTGCTTTTCAAATCAATAAAAATAAATCTGTAAAAAACAACAGGTTAAGTACCTTGTGATTCCTTTCCCTCTCCCAGGACCATCCTCTGAGATTTCGTTCACCCCCTATGTTAGCCAGCTTCTCATTACTTTAACTAAAATCCTCACGAGACGTCTTTTGGGAAGGAAAAGGTTTATTTTGCCTTACAGTTTAACAGTTCAAAGTTCAGGATCAGTGGCCCCATTAGTCTGTTGCATGGTGGAGGCTCCCCATGGCAGAGCAGGTGCCAAGGCGCGAACCCCTTGGTGAGCCAGGAAGCAGAGAGAGAAGCTAAGCCGAGAGAGAGCTTAAATAAGCAACTACATCAAGTGCACTATCTCCTGAGGGCAAGCTCCTAGTGACCTTGCACTTGGCCCACCTGTGAGACGCCATAATGAGACCAGGTCTCCACCATTAATCCACCGTCCCTTAACCCTTCAGAGTTGAAACATCTGCGCGAGTTTGAGGACTCAAGTTCTGCTCACCCTTACATTAGCAGCGGTGCCTGTTGAGTCAGAAAAGCTTTGTAGCAGTGGTCAGAGCTTCCTTGGCCAGTGACCAACCACCCCGGCTTGCCCAGGAGTTTCCTCTTCTAGTTCTGAAAGCCCCGTGTCTTGGGAAATCCCTGAGACTCGGGCAAGGTAGGATGGTTGGTCATTCTGTATCCTGGCTCAGACCTGACATTAGCGCATAGTCCAACCACATTTCGCCACATGGAGCTGTCCAAGAGTTTATTACTGGGAAATCTGGGTTTGTTGGAAAGAACGTCCTTTGATTCGAATGTATGTGAACATCCGGGAAGCACTGCCTCAGAGTGCTTGTTCTCAAACGCCATGCCCAATGGAAGCACCTGGGGAGTTTTTAAACCTACTAATGCCCAGGGGGCGGGTGGGTTCCAGCGCTGTGGCATAGCGGGTAAAAGCCGCCGCCTGCAGTGCCGGCATCCCATATGGGATTGGCTGGTGGGCACCCGGCTGCTCCACTTCTGATACGGCTCTCTGCTGTGGCCTGGGAAAGCAGTAGAAGATGGTCCAAGTCCTTGGGCTCCTGCACCCACATGGGAGACCGGGAAGAAGCTCCTGGCTCCTGGCTTTGGAGAACAGAGCACGTTGAGGCCAGAAGGTGGGGTGTGCTTGGATGACTGTTCACATCTAGCAGTCTGCATTTCCTCCCCTTCTGCTAGTCCTCTTAAAAATGTTAAAAGACGATAAAGTCTAGTACAACACTGGGCCAAATCTTCTTCCCCGATTTGCTCTGATTTTTTTTTTAAAGATTTATTTATTTACTTGAAAGTCAGAGTTACACAGAGAGAGAGAGAGAGAGAGAGAGAGAGATCTTCCATCTGTTGGTTTACTCCCCAATTGGCCGCAATGGCCGAAGCTGTGCCCATCCGAAGCCAGGAGCCAGGAGCCAGGAGCCAGGAGCCAGGAGCCAGGAGCCAGGAGCTTCTTCCGGGTCTCCCATGCAGGTGCAGGGGCCCAAGGGCTTGGACCATCTTCCACTGCTCTCCCAGGCCACAGCAGAGAGCTGGATGGGAAATGGAGCTGCCGGGACATAAACCGGTGCCCATATGGGATGCCAGCACTGCAGGCAGCACAGGCCCCCGACAAGCTCGGATTTTATGGGGTGCTATACTGTCATGGTCTGCTGAGCCACACCCGGCCCCATTTCTTTTTGGTCACAATAGCGACTGTGCCCTGCCCAAGTCTCATTAGCTCTGTGAACTTCCCCCAGCTCCCTGTGCCTCTGCACTTCGATCCCATTCGTAATTGGTATCAAGCAGCCTAACACTCTATACATGTTGACTTTTACTGTTCTCTATTTTGTTTTTATTCTGCTCATCAGTGCCTCTGCTGTGACAGGGACAGAGGCCCAATCAGCCTGGCTTAAATGAAGAGCCAATGCATGGGCTCTTAGGACAGACAAGAGCAGGCACACTGACTTCGTCCAAGTAGGGTTGGATCCAGGTGTTCCTCTGATGTCATCAGAAAGACACGTTACAGCTCCTTCGCTCAAGGCCGATTTCCTCTGCGCAGGCTTCAATCCTGGGAAAGGCTCTCTGCACTTGGAAGTGCAAATGGCCACGCTAGGTGTGGTAGGTTGAGGATTTCATTTAATTCTCATAGCACTTTGAAATCCCCACCGGATAATTATATGTCACATTATGCCCGGGACCTCAATCAGCCACATTTGAAATGTTGAAAATGCCAGCCACATGTTACAGAAACTCAGCCCCATGCAGAGGCAAAACACAACCGAGAACACAGGCAAGCCCTAGGAACACAAAAGATGGGAACTCAAGCCCTCACTTTGATCTTTTATGAATGCCGGATACCACGCCATGAAGGACTATTCCAAGTCCAGAAGCATCCCACTCACTGGTCAGACATCTACTCACCGCCTACTATGCAGCAGGCACCACGCTGGGGGCTCGAGTGGGGGAGACCTAATCCCCGTCTTCACCATCTCAGAGGGTAGCAGATGAGACGCATCTAACGAGCACACTGCAGTACGGCAAAAACTCCTGTGCAGCTGTGGGCTGAGCAGGTGCCCGGGGGCGCAATATTTAAGCACAACTGTGTTGAGTGTTTTCTAAAGGTGCCCTCCAGCTTCATGTGTCTGCTGTTATTTTTTTCCCCCTCTCTCTCCCTCTCTCTCCTATTATAACAGGAGCATTTAGCCCTGTGGGGATGTGGGTGGACTCCAGCTAAACCCACTTACAGATCACCTTAGGAGTTCTTTTTTTCTAACAGCAAAAGCAGTTTCCAGGGCCACCGTATAAAATTACTTCTGTGTGTTCCAGAGGAAAATCACTTGGAATGAAAGAAGCCAAGGCTTGTGATTTGTAGGGAGAATGGAGAGTGAGTGCATTCGATGAGGGTGCTAAAAGGTCTCAGATTTTGGTCAAATGGCCAGAACGGGAAGGAGAAAGGCCTATTACATCAGAAAGTTCATTTGAATAGCCCATATCCAAAATGTAGAGCGCAAATAGATACCAAGAGAAGGAAAGTGCTTTCGTTTCTTTTGTTACTCAAGTGGAACCCAAATGAGCTAACCCTTAGGTATCTTTTTTTTTTTCCTAAAATTTATTTCTTTAAAATGCAGAGAGACACAGAGAAGAGAGAGAGAGAGAGAGAGAGAGGGAGAGAGATTGATCTTCCATCCACTGGTTCACTCCTTAAATAGCCACGATAGCAGGATCTGGGCCAGGCAGAAGCCAGGAGCCTGTAACTCCATGCAGGTCTCCCACATGGGTGGCAGGGGCTCAAATACTCGGGCCATCTTTTGCTGCCTTCCCATGTGCATTAGCGGGGAGCTACATTGGAAGCGGAGCCGCTGGGGCTCGTTCCAGCACTCTGACAAGGGATTGCCGTGTTGCAAGCGCTGGCTTAACCTGCTACGTCACAATGCCAGCCTCACCTTTGGTGCCTTAACGCAGCAAAATTAATGAGAATCACCTGGGGCCATTTTTAAACATCAGAGATGCACGTTGAAATGCTTACATGTTACAATGATAGCATCGGGTTAAAGAAATACTGTTAAACTTTATTTCACCTGTTTCTTGTTACTTTTTAAAATGTGCCAGAAAATTGAAAATTACATATGAGCGGAGTTCAAAAAGTTCATGGACCATGAAATTAAAAGATAAGTTTGGGGCTGGGTTTGTGGGGCAGCGGGTTAAGCCACCGTTTGCAATGCTGGCATCCCAGTGAGTCTTGGCTGCTCCGCTTCTGATCCAGCTCCCTACTAATGCACCTGAGAAGGCAGTGGATAATGGCTCAAGTGCTTTGCTCTTCCTCATCTATCTCTTTATCTGTCAGTCCATCTATCTATCCATGAATCTACCAGCCTATCTACCCATTATCCATCTTCAGATGGGCTCTGGCATCTGAAATCTGTATTGTGTCTTACCTCTGTGCCTCTTATTAGCTCTGTGACTGGAGGCAAATTAGCTCAACTTCTCTGAGTTCCTCCATTCCTACACGATGCAGATGATGCTATTACCTGCCTACCAGTCATCAAATGGGGATTGAGTGAGTCAAGTCTGAGAAATGTGAGGATGGAAAATATACTGGCCCATGTTCAAAGGTCCGTAAATGGTGACCATGGCCATGCCCAGGGACAAGGCCACATACAAGAGATTAAGAAACATAGCCCTTTCCTGGGCTGATCTGCTGTGCCCAGGGTGGTGTTGGCTCTCTATTAAGTTAGAAACCAATATTTGACAAAGGATTGCCATCCAGAATATTTCATTTTCTCTTTTTTTATTCAATTGGAAGGTGGAGAGACAGAGAAATGAGAGACAGATAGATAGAGATCTTCCAACTGCTGGCTCACTCCCCCAAATGCCCACAACCACCAGGGCTGGGCCAGGCCAAAGCCAGGAGCCAGGAGCTTCATCTGGGTCTCCCATGTGGGTGGCAGAGACCCTAAGTATTGGAACCATCGCATGCTGCCTCCCAGGGTGCACAGCAGCAGGAAGCTGGAGTCAGAGGGAAGCCAGGATTCAGACGAAGGCCCTCCGATACAGGATGTAGGCATCCGACATGGCGTCTCACACACTGCGCCAAGTGCCCTTCCCTAGAATATATTTTTTAAACATCTCTCAAAACTCAACAGTAAGAGGACAAACACTCCACTTAGAAAATAGACAAAAGAAGAGACGCTTCACCGAAGAGGACATACAGACAGGAAAGAGGTGCAGGAGGAGAGGCTGAGTGTGATTAACCATTAGAGAAACACAACGGAACATCCCTGTGGACTAGTGCTACACGCGTGCTTGAAGGCCTACACATTGAAAATAGTGACCACACCAAGTGACAGTGAGAAGGCAGCCAAACCGCACCACTCACACATTGCTGGCAGGAATGGGGCAAATAGTCGGTGAGTTTCTTTTTTTTTTTTTTTTAAAGATTTATTTTATTTATTTGAAAGATGGAGTTACAGAGAGAGGTAGAGACAGAGAGAGAGGTCTTCCATCCGCTGGTTCACTCCCCAGATGGCCACAATGGCTGGAGCTGGGCTGATCCAAAGCCAGGAGCCGGGAGCTTCCTCCAGGTCTCCCATGTGGGTACAGGGTACCAAGGACTTGGGCCATCCTCCACTGCTATCCCAGGCCACAGCAGAGAGCTGGATCAGAAGTGGAACAGCCGGGACTAGAACCGGCACCCATATGGGATGCCAGCACTTCAGGCCAAGGCTTTAACCCGCTGCACCACAGTGCCAGCCCCGAGTTTCTTTAAACATTAAACGTATAGCTTCCATACAACCCTGCAATTGCACTCCTGAGCACTGATCCCAGAGAAATGAAAATTCACATCCACACGAAGACCTCGCCACAGATGTTCACTGCAGCTTTATGTGTAATCGTCTAAAACTAGAAGCAGCCCAGCTGTTCGTGACAGATGAATGGTTAAACACACCATGCGATTTCATCCTATGGAATTCCACAGCACCTAGTAGCATTTACTACTCAACAATAAAAAGCAATGACCTGTAAGATGCCCACAACACCCTGGATGAATCTCCAGAGAACTATACTGAGTGAAAAAAAAAAAAGAAATCCAGAGGGTCTGTGTGACTCCACTTTTTTGGAAATGACAACATTTTAGAAATGCATGGGGCTGGCACCGTGGCATAGCATCCCATATGGGCGCCAGTTCGAGTCCTGGCTGCTCTACTTCTGATCTAGCTCTCTGCTAAGGCCTGGAAAAGCAGTAGAAGATGGCCCAAATCCTTGAGCCCCTGCACCCACATGGAATACCCAGAAGATTCTCCTGGCTCCTGGCTTTGGATTGGTGCAGCTCCAGCCATTGTAGCCATCTGGAGAGTAAACCAGCAGATGGAAGACCTGTCTGTCTCTCTCTCTGCCACTCCCCCCCAACTCTGCTTTTCAAATAAATAAATAAATCTTTAAAAGAAAAAAAAAAGAAATGCATAAGTTAGTGGTTGCAGGGTGGAGCACAGGGGCAGGCAGGAGATGGGCGTGGTTATAAAAGGCACAGAGGGGGCTGGCGCTGTGGCACAGTGGGTTAACGCCCTGGCCTGAAGCACTAGCATCCCATGTGGGCACTGGTTCTAATCCCGGCTGCTCCACTTCTGATCTAGCTCTGCTTTGGCCTGGGAAAGCAGTAGAAGATGGCCCCAAGTTAGGCCCCTGCACCCATGTGGGAGACCTGGAAGAAGCTCCTGGCTCCTGGCTGTTGCGGCCAATTGGGGAGTGAACCAGTGGATGGAAGACCTCTCTCTCTCTCTCTCTCTCTCTCTCTGTCTCTCCTCTCTCTGTGTAACTCTGTACAGTGCCCTGGATGCAGAGGCTGGACACCATCCATTCCTAGTCTCCTACAGCCTCCCAGCCTCCTCCCCTTAGTTTCGAAATTTCTTGCCCTGTTTCTATGATTACAAATCAACATCTTACAAAATTGGCTCTCTGGTGCAGCCCACCGTACAGGGTCTCTGAACACAAGACAAAGATAAGTCATGTATCTCCCCCTACAGATAAGATCTTGATGTTCAGTCTTGTCTTGAGGGAACCTGGAACCTCAGACCCTGAGCAAAAAGTAACCACCACCTGCATGCAGCCCCCAGACCGACTGGAGCCCACGTTGCCATCATCAAAGTCCCCTAAGGGACACGATATCTCCCACCCATCAGAGGAGGGCCAGGCACACTGCAGACCAACCAAGAGCTTGGACATGAGCTGAAGGTGCCCGTGTCAGCCCCAGCTTCCGTCTGGAAGAGGCTTCACCCTCAGGGAGCCCGGGTATTAGGCAATAGCTCCCCTGCTCGCTGCTCTGGGCTCTGCAGTAGACACCTCCTTCCCCCCACCACCCTGGTGGCAGTGACCGGCTTGCTGCTCACTGGGCCAGGGGTACAGTTTGAGGGCGTTCTGTAGCAACTCCTCCAGCCGCTTTGGGGGATATTCTATAACATTAACATTGAGGGAAACTGGGGCAAATTGTACAAGGCTCTTTCTAATATTTCTTACTACTATGTGTAAAACCCACAATTATCTCAATAAAAACATCTAGAAAAACATGGGGCGAGTGTTGTCGTGCAGCAGGTTGCATACATTGGTATCCTATGTCAGGGGGCCACAGAACACACCAAATACCAGAGTAAGGGGAAGGGTTTATTGGTGGGGAAACCGGACAGACCGGAGGGAAGGGGCGAAGAAGGGAAAGAGGGAGGAGAGTGTAAGAGAAAGATTAAGAGAGAGAGAGAGAGAGATCGAGAGACAGAGAGAGAGCGCGCGAGCCACGTGTTCAGGAACAGGTGCTGTTAAACCTTTGGGGGGAAGGGGCTGGCGCCATGGCTTACTTGGTTAATCCTCCACCTGCGGTGCCGGCATCCCATATGGGCACCGGTTCTAGTCCCGGTTGTTTCCCTTCCAGCCCAGCTCTCTGCGGTGTCCCAGGAAGGCAGTGGAGGATGGCCCAAGTGCTTGGGCCCTGCACCCGCATGGGAGACCAGGAGGAAGCACCTGGCTCCTGGCTTCAGATCAGTGTAGCTCCGGCCATGGTGGCCATTTGGGGGGTGAACCAATGGAAAGAAGACCTTTCTCTCTGTCTCTCTCTCACTAACTCTATCTGTCAAATAAATTTTGGGGCCAGCACTGTGGCGCTGCAAGTTAAAGCCCCAACCTGCAGCACCGGCATCCCATATGGGCTCCGGTTCGAGTCGCGGTTGCTCCACTTTCAATCCAGATCCCTGCTAGTGTGCCTGGGAAAGCAGCAGATGATGGCCCAGGTCTTTGGGCCCCTGTATCCACGTGGAAGAACTGGAAGAAGCCCCTGGTTCCTGGCTTCAGATCAGCTCAACTACAGCCATTGCGGCCATTTGGGGAGTGAACCAGTGGATGGAAGACATCTCTCTCTCTCTCTCTCTCTCTCTCTGTCTGTCTCTACTTCGCCCTGTAACTCTGTCTTTCAAATAAATAAAATATCTTTAAAAAAAAAAAAAACCTTTTGGGGGGATGGTGGGCAGGAAAGTAGAATCAGTGAATCCCATTAGGGTGGGGGTGGAGCTGACACCAGTGGTTAGGCCATGTGGTCAGCTGGCTTCCAGCAATGGTTGCGGGGCTAGAGCCTAGGATGGTGTCGGGGTGTAGCTTGCACCCTAGATAAGACTGTGCCATTTTACTAACATCCTATATCAGAATGCTGGTTCAAGTCCCGGCTGCTCCACTTCTGATCCAGCTCCCTGCTAATGTGCCTGGGGAAGTAGCAAAGATGGCCCAAATCCTTGGGTCCCTACCATCCAGGTGAGAGACCTGGATGGCATTCCTGGCTCCTGGCTTTGCAGTCATTTAGGGAGTGAATTAGCAGATAGAAGATCCCTACCTCTCTCTGTAACTGCCTTTCAAATAAATAAACCTATACAAACATTTACAAATATATATCTCATGGCTGGCACTGTAGCACAGCAGGTTAAGCCTCTGCCTGGGATGCCTGCATCCCATGTGGGCGCTGGTTTAAGTCCTGGCTGCTCCACTTCCGATGCATCTCCCTGCTAAGGTGCCTGGAAAAGCAGCAGAAAATGGTCCAAGTGCTTGGGCCCCTGCATCCGCGTGGGAGACCTGGAAGAAGCTCCTGGCTCCTGGCTCCGGCTTGGCCCAAGTCCCGGCCGTTGAGGCCATCTGGGGAGTAAAACAGCAGATGGAAGATTCTCTCTCTCTCTCTCTCTCTCTCTCTCTCTCTCTGTCTCTCCTCCTCTCTCTGTAATTCTCCTTTCAAATAAAAAAAAATTAAATCTTAAAAAATAAAAATATGTACTTCTCACAAAGCAAACGGCAAATCTGGAGGCTGTTACCCTGCTCTGTAAGAAACTGCAAAGTCCCATCCCCTACACACGATTCTGTTGTTTGTTCCTGTGCGCATCCACTATGGTGCTTCGTATTTGCAGTCAGTCTCCTGGACCACACTGAGCTGCTTCGAGATTTATTCCTTGTAGCCTTAGTGCCAGCCCCATGTCAGCCTCAATATGCTTCGACTGGATTAAATTATTCAGCTCTATGTACACCAGGGAGTTGGGCATAAAATAAATCTTCAATACTTTTTTTTTTTTTTTTTTTGCCTTGAACTAGGTTGTCGAGCGGTGCCTGAAATGTCTTTTTGCTTTGTTTCTCGGGCGAGGCAGCATGCTGCTCACCAGGAGAACGGTAATGAGTGTGGGGGCATTTCCGTCGCATGTCGGTCCTCCCTGGAAGAAGCTATGAGTCATTAATTGACTGTCGATTTAATAGTTTTTCAGGGTTGGGGGGAGAAAACCAGCTAGTACATTTGATTTCAGAAATGTTACAAGCCCAGGTCACGGTGCCCCCTTTGACTCCAGGAATGATGGCAGTGAAAGAAAAGGGATGTGGCAGTCTGCAAAGCTGCTTTTTTGTCCCTGGAGACGCTGACTCGTTTCCGGAATTGAATACCGCATTGCAAAAAAATGAAATTTCCCCAAGCACGGGAGGTAACCAGCGGCGAAAGGGACATGTCAGAAACGAGTGAGTGACACGACGCGAATAAGACAAATCTGAAGTATTTTCTTAGCTAATAGTACCCGGTAAAAGCCGTGGCTGGGAGGATAGTGCGTTCCTGCTAGCTGATGCCGCTGACAGCACGCTGTTTGGACAGAATCCCCCGAGCTGCAGCGAGAAGCAGCACAGACAAAAACGTGGGGGAGGGGCGGCGACTCAGCCAGAGCCTGTAACTCCGGCAAATGGAAAGAGAAAATGGCTCTTTCTGTGCGCCTGCGTTCTCTCCCATTGTCTTTCCAGATCCAGGCCTCCTTAGGGACTTTGTTCAAATCTTCCAACGCCGTCCATGTTACTAGCTCGGACCCAAAGAAAATCGCCCCCTCCCATCAGATGATTTGCTAGTTGCTCCCAGAAAGGGCCTCTGGCCCCTTCCAAAAAAACTCACCTCCCCGGCCAGCCACACGTGCCTGACATTCCTCTTTGGCCAAAGGAATTCTCCTTTCCAGTGTTTGCTTTTAAATGCAAATCATCGCGGAGTGGGGGTGCGACTTCCTGTCAGCTCAGTTTGTCAGAGATTACCCATGGATTCGTGCACGGAGAAATATAACACAAAATGAAAACTGTACGAACAAAGGGCCGAAGGAGTTAAGGACTAGCTCAAAATACAACTGGCGTATTGCTTATTTCAAGCTGAAATCACTTGGCGGAGCGGCAGCTTCAGAAAGGGCCAGCCAGCCTGTCTCTTGCTACACGCAGCAAGCCACAAAGATGCTTCTGGCGAGTTGTCCTACACACACCAAGGCTGGAAAACAGCCTTGATCACCAGAGGCTGCTTCCCGGGTCTGCAGTGAACCCGAATTAACAGACTCCTTAGGAACCGCGTGACGGTGCGGCAGGTTAAGCTGGGGCTTGTGATGCCAGCAGCCCCTACCTGACTGCTGGTTCAAGGCCAGCTCCCTGCTAATGCACCAGATGATGGCCTTGGTGCTTGGGTCCCTGCCATCTGTGTGCGAGACCCGGATAGAGTTAATGGCTCCTGGCTTCAGCCATTTGGGGAGTGAACTAGCGAGTAGATCTCTGTCTCTGTCTCTGTCTCTCTCTCTCTCATCCCCCTTGCTTTTCAAATATATAAATAATTAATGTTTAAAAATCGCAACAAACTCCTTGAAGTAACCCTTATATTCCCCTAGGTTATCCCCTGGCCCCGTACATCTCAGACTGATGCCCAGGAAGTACCCCAGCCCAGAGATCCATTTGTCCCACCAGCTGTTCACAACTTTATTGTTCTTTGTCTAAAAACTATGAAAATATCACACTTTTGTCATTTCTGCAGACTGCACATTTTTTAGTTTTTATTTTTTTTAAAGATTTATTTTTATTTCTTTGAAAGGCAGAGTGACAGAGAGAGAGAGAGAGAGAGAGCTCGATCTTCCACCCACTGATTTACTCCCCAGATGGCTGCAATGGCCAGTGCTGGACCAGGTCAAAGCTAGGAGCCTGGAACTCCATCCGGGTCTCCCACATGGATGGCAGGGACCCAAGCACTTGGGCCATCTTCCACGCTGCCTTCCCTAGCACATTGGCATGAAGCTGGATCAGAAGTGGAGCAGCTGGACTCGAACCTGTGTTGGGATATGGGATGCTGGCGGCGCGAGCGGTGGCTGCAATACCATGTCAAACCCAGACTTCACTCACTTACGAAGATCCCCATGTGTGTGTAACTTTAATAAAACTCTCCTGTGTTTCTCTTAATAATCAGCCTTGCATGAATTCGGCAATTGGGTTCCTTGGTCTAGCCAAAGAGCCCACTTGCAAACTGAGGGGGTGGGGTACTGGGATCTCTTGCTCCCCTCTGGGGACTGCATAAGGGAAGGTGACCTTTACAGACTGCGAATAAAGAATAACTTCCTGTGGATCCGTGTTTTCTGGCATTTGTTGAGCAAGGCTGACCAAGTGCAACAATTTTAAGGTGAAGTTCAATTCCGCACCTATTGCCTTTCAGGCACTGGACCAGGGACCCGAGATACAAAGACACAGTTCCTCAGAATAAAGTGCAGGGAATAAAATACACAAAAGACAAGCATAATTTAAATGCTAAGTGCTAGGCTAGTGTTATAGGCATAAGTCTCTCATTTTTTTATTCCAGGGTCTTGCCTCCGCGGAGACAAGAATCGCAAGCAGAGGCGTAAAGGCAGCGCACAAGTGAGAGCAGGATTTACTTCCCAGAGAGAGAGTGAATGCGTACTGACCCCAAGTGTGGGCCACCCGGCTCGGAGAGCTGCCTAGGAGGAGACAGCATGGGGCGGGCCAGAGAGAGCTCCGAAAGCAAGGGCCAGAAGCCAAAAGCAAAAATAGTACCCATGTTTTAGCACCCCCTTTTATGAGGTAGGGGGTGGTGCCCAACTTCAAACAGGGTGGAGTTCAGTGTGCGCAAGGCTTTCTAGAAGTTTCATGGCTCCATGTGGAGTTTAATTTCCACGTGGCCCTAATGATATCTCCTCTTTCTTGATCCCAGATGAGACAGGTGTACTATGCAAAAGCAGGTGTAATGGACAGACAGAAGGGGTGGAGTTACAATGCAGGGCTGGCAGAAATTGATTCCAGTTCACCTATCCCTTCCTAATCTTGCTGGCAAGTTCCCCCATGTGTAAAATGGGACATCTAATAGGAACTGAGGCAGGTAGTCAGGGAAGGCTTCCTGTAGGAGATACTAGTAAGCTGAGTCCTGAAAGGTAAGTAGGCATGTCCTGGGGAAAATGGACGGAGAGGTCAGGTATCTAAGGGAGCAGGAACTGCATTAGCAAAGACATGGAAGTAGGGAGAAAATAAGCCTCACGCTATATTTGCGGTAGCCTTGGAGATGTGGTGGCTACTTAGTTCTCCCTTCAAGCCAACTTGCTACAAAGGATGCCTTTGGATGACAGCTTCCGGAGACCTCACTTCCAGGATCCGTGATTGCAGGGCCTGCGCTGACATCGTGGGCTGAGCCGCTCTCTGCCTGCAGTGCCGGCATCCCACATGGGCAGCAGTCCGAGTCCCGGCTGCTCCTCTTCCCAGCTGGCTCCCCGCTATGGCCTGGGAAAGCAGTAGAAGATGGCCTGAGTCCTTGGGCCCCTGCACCCACGTGGGAGACCCAGAAGAAGCTCCTGGCTCCTGACTTTGGCCTGGCCCCGCCCCAGCCTTGCGGCCATTTGGGGAGTGAACCAGCGGATGGAATTCTCTCTCTCTCTGCCTTTCAAATACACACACACACACACACACACACACACACATACATAGAGGATCCATGATTGCATTCCGAGCACACTTCTGGTGTCCTCTCTCAGCCAATGAACAAGCAGGAACACTAGAGCCGAGCCCTTTTTTTCTGCTGTGAATTTCCTCAACAAACCACGTTTCCCCTGGGGCACGTGGGCAGGCTGGCCGAGACATTCCTCAGGCCCCTCCTACCCAGGTCTTCTCCCTTCCTGCCTCCTCTCCTTTCATCACCACTTGAAGGCTCTGTCTGCCTTAGCCCGGCTTCCTCTGCCCTTTCTCCAGCCACTTCTGTCCTGGCCTCTGTTTTTCGGAGGCCCTGAGCCGACACCATGATTAAGGAGCTGCCAGGAATCAGTGTTGCTGGAGGCTAAGTGGGAGAAAGGAGACACAGGAAGAGCGGTCCTTGTATAAATAGGGAGCTGAACAACAATAGGGTCATATTTGTACTTTATAAAGACCTTTGGGACCAGCATTGTGGGGCAGCGGGTAAAGCCACCATCTGCAACACTGGCATTCCACATGAGTTCCAGTTTGAGCCCCCGGTGCTCCACTTCTTTTTTTTTTTTTTTTTTTTTTTTAATAGGCAGAGTTAGATGGTGAGAGAGACAGAGAGAAAGGTCTTCCTTCCGTTGGTTCACTCCCCAAATGGCCGTCACGGCTGGCACACTTGGCACACTGCGCCGATCCGAAGCCAGGAGCCAGGTGCTTCTCCTGGTCTCCCATGCGGGTGCAGGGTCCAAGCACTTGGGCCATCCTCCACTGTACTCCCGGGCCACAGCAGAGAGCTGGCCTGGAAGAGGGGCAACCGGGACTAGAACCCGGTGTGCCGGCGCCGCAGGCTGAGGATTAGCCTAGTGAGTCGCGGCACCGGCCCTCCACTTCTGATCCAGCTCCTTGCTAATGCACCTGGGAAAGCAGCAGAAGATGGTCCAAGTACATGGGTCCCCGCCTCCCATGTAGGAGACCCAGATGGAGTTCCTGGCTGCTGGCTTTGGCCTGGCTCATCCCTGGCCATTGTGGTCATTTGGGGTGTGAACCAACAGACAGAAGACCTCTCTTTAACTCTGCATTTTAAATAAATGAATAAATCTTTTAAAAAAATCATGCTAGAGTTTGAATGAATATGTCCCCAAAAATTTCATGTGTTAGAAACTTATAACAAATTTTTTAAAAAGATTTATTTATTTGAAAGGTAGAGTTAGAGAGATAAAGAGGCAGAGAGAGAGAGAGAGAGAGAGAGAGGTCTTCCATCCATTGGTTCACTCCCCAGGTGGCCACAAGGCTGGAGCCGAGCTGATCTGAAGCCAGGAGCCAGGAGCTTCCTCCGGGTCTCCCACGTGAGTGCAGGGGCCCAAGGACTTGGGCCATCTTCCACTGCTTTCCCAGGCCATAGCAGAGAGCTGGATCAGAAGTGGAGCAGCTGGGACTCGAACCAGCAACCAATTGGGGAGTGAACCAGCAGATGGAAGACCTCTTTCTCTCTCTCTGCCTCTGCCTCTCTGTAACTCTGCCTTTCAAATAAATAAAAATCTTTTTAAAAAATAAAAAAAAGAAATATGTGAGCAATAAAATGGCAGGGATTGGTGATTAATTGGTTGCAAAATATGAAGGAGAGGAAGTGAAAGACACTGAATTGCAAACATTATGTTAAAAGACAGGCTGCATTCCTCTGCCAGCCACGAAGGAACAACTTGTACCAGACTTACCTTCCCGAAGTCAGCCACTAGAAACCAGACAAAATACTTGAAGCAACTCCTTCCAGACACTGAATGCCAGCAGCAAGGAGCCGTGAGCTCTGAAAGAGAGCAGACAAAGGCAGAGAAACCTACTGAGTAGAGGAAATTTCCAGCCTGCGGTGGAAGACGGGAAATCCCAAGCAGAGCACAGGAGTCTTGCTGGGTGAGGAGACGGAGACTGGAGTTCAGGAAAGCATAGGTCTCTGGGATTGGAGGGGGAGACTCCCCAGAAAGAATGAGCTATGCAGGGAAAACGCTCCAGAAGTCCACAGGGAGTCCTGTTTGGCTGGCCAGAAAACAGTGCATACCCACAAGACGCACGATTCCACCAGGCTGGGCACAGAAGAACTCCCACAGAAGGAACAAGGACCAGGAAGCTCTTAGCTGCACGGGAGGTGTCTGAGTTAGGAGCACCTAGAGTGCAGGAACACTTGAGATTCAGTAGCGCCCAGGAAGTTGAAGCCGTAGTAACAGGTCTAATAGCCCTAGTTGGAAGTCTATTCTAGACCTGCCCTAACAGAGCAGAAACACAAGCTTGGAGAGGCTCAGCCTGAGTTACAGGGAACTTAACTGCCTGTCAAAACAAAAGTCAGCACTCCTTTAAGAAGACAGTAACATTCAGGCCTCAACAACAGAACATAATGTTCCCCATCCAACCCAAATTGCTTACCTTGTTCAGATAGGTAAAAATGTGATGCACACGTGGAGAAAAGAACAGGCACTAGAAACAGACCCAGAGGTGAGAGAGAGGAGCGAATTAGCAGACAAGGACTGTAAATAGCTCTTTACTATTCTGATCACTATTATTATGAGAGAGAGAGAGAAAGAGAGAGAGAAGCTCTTTATCTGCTGGTCCCAAATGCCCACAATGACTGGGCTGGGCTGGGCCAAAGCCAGGAGCTGAACTCAATCACTGCGGTGCAGTGGGTTAAGCCACCACCTGCAATGCCAGCATCCCATATCAGAGTGCTACTTGAGTCCTGGCTGCTCCACTTTGAATCCAGCTTCCTGCTAATGCCCATGGGAAGGCAGCAGAAAATGACTCAAGTGCTTGGGCCCCTGCCACCCACATGGGACACCTAGATGGAGCTCCAGGTTCTGGCTTTGGTCTGGCCCAGCCCCAGTTATTGCAGCCATTTGGGGAGTAAACCAATGGATAGAAAATCAATCTCTCTCTCTTTCTCTCTCTCTCTCTGTAACTCCCTTTCAAGTCAATAAATAAATAAAGTCTGTGTAGAAGGAGGACCACGTGGTGAGGCAGGAAGTCCTTTTATAACCAGCTGTCTCATGAGAACTACTTTCTGAGGACACGCCCCATGACCATGGGCCTCCCACCGGGCCCACCTCCTCAACGCCAGAATTGGATTAAGCTTCCAAACCTATTTTAATTTTTTCTCTTAATTTTTAATTTTACTTGAAAGTCAGAGAGACAGAGGGAGAGATTCAGAAACAGACCAAGAGCCTCTGGTTCACTCCTCAAATGCTTGCAACAGACAGGGCTGGGTCAGGCAGAAACCAGGGGCCAGGAACTCCACCTAGGCATCCCATGTGGGTGGTAGGGACTCCCAGGGTGCATTAGCAGGGAGCTGCATAGGAAGGGGAGGAGCCAAGACTTGAAAGCAGGCACTCAAACATAGAAGACGGCCTAACCACTGTATCAGATGCCTGCTCTCCACTCTGTTTAATACCATTGAATTATGTCTTTGGGCACGAAACTTCATCTCCAGGACTTTGGGGGGCATTTGCCATTCAAACTCCTATCCTGACCATAGTAAATGACATCTTTAAAACAGGGAAAAAAGGTTGACCTAGAATTCTGTACGCAAAAGAAAAAAAATGCAGCTAAAATGTGAAGGTGAAATAAAGTCTTTCCCACACAAACAGCTGAGAGAATTAGTTGCCAGCAGACATGGAATACAGAAATGTTAAAGGAAATTCTTCATACTAAAGGAAAATAACACCAGATGGGAATTGAAATCAATATAAATGAATAAACAACACAGTCTTGGTAAATATGTGCTAAATGTAAAACACTTTTCCCTCATTGTTTTAATTTACTGAAAAAATATTGACTTTTAAAGCAAAAACAATGAAAGTGTATTGTGAGATGTAAACCTATGTAGAAGTGAAACATAAGCTAACAATAGCACAAAGTACAGAAGAAAGTCAGAGTCTATTTTATGACGCATGAAGTGGCACCCGATCATTTGCAGGTGCACTATGTTCTGTTACAGGAGCCTGTTGTACACCTGTAATAACCACCATAAAAGAGATCTACCTAGGAAGATGATAGTTGGAGATAAAATGGAATGCCAAAAAAATACTCAAAACCAGGCATGACAAGAGGAAGGAAGAAAGAAGAGAAAGATAGGGCTGGTGTGTGAAGCAGCAGGCTGTCATCACTTGTGATGCCAGTGTCCTACATCAGAGTGCTGGGTCCAGTCCTGGCTGCTCCGCTTCCAATCTTTCTTCCTGCTAATGCCGCTGGGAAAGGACACGAGAGAACCTGATGCACTTCCAGGCTCCTGGCTCTCGTCTGGCCCAGCCCCAGCTGCTTTTGCAGGCATTTGGGAGTGAACCAGCATAGGAAGAGCTCTCTCTCTTTCTCTCTCACTTTTGCTCTTTCAAATAAATAAATGAGAAAGAAAAAAAAGGACAACTAGGTGCCAGCGTTGTGGCGTAGTGGGTAAAACCACTGTCTGCAGTGCTGGCATCCCATATGGGCACCGGTTCCTGTCCTGACTGCTCCACTTCTGTTCCAGCTCCTTGCTGGTCCACCTGGGAAAGCAGTAGAAGGTGGTCCAAGTGCTTGGGCCCCTGCACCCGCATGGGAGACCCTGAGGAAGCTCCTGGCTCCTGGCTTTGGTCTGGCCCAGCCCCAGTCATTATGGCCATTTGGTGAGTGAACCAGTGCATGGAAGATCTCTCTCTCCCTCTGTAAATCTGACTTTCAAATAAATACATAAATCTTAAACAAAAAAAAGGACAAGTAGAAGAGAAGTAGCAAGATTGCATATTTAAATTCAACTATACTAATAATTAAGTTTCAATGATCTAAACATACCAACTGAAAGGAAGACATTCTCAGAGTAGATTAAAAGAAAGACCTATTTCTCTCCTAATTTTCAATAATGGCATTTAGTACAAATGCATAAATAAGTTGACAGCAAGAGGATGGAACTATATATAGCTAACATAATCACTAATCTTACAAAAATTGGAGTGGTCATATTATTATTACTATTATTATTATTATTAGAGTTTATCATTTTCCCAAGGATAAAGAAAAATATTTCATAATAGTGAATGGGTCAATTCATCAGGAACAATGATCAGTCATAATACGTATGTACCCAACAGCAGAGCTTTAAAATACACAAAACAAAAACTAACAGAATGAAAAGGAGAAATATACAAACCCATACTTATGGTTTTACATTTTAATATTCTCTCAGTAATTAAGAAAACAAATAGACAAATTCAGTAGGAATGGAGGAGACTCAAACATGGCAAAAACCAAAGTGATGAAATTGACTTTTATAGAAGATTCTGTTCAGGCACAGGAAAACAGTTTTTTCTTATAAACTGAGTGTGTGGCTTCACTAACCTAAAAGGATCAGAATCATGGTAAGAATGTTATATGACTACAGTGGAGTTAAATTTTTATAAGTAATCAAAATATCTGGAAAACATCCAAATACTTGTACATTTACAACATGATAAATCACTGATGAATCAAGAGGACATTAGAAAATATTTTTGATTTAATGAAAATCAAAACAATGTTTCCAATTTTTATAAGAGAAGAAAGGCCCTAAATCAATGATTTAAGAATCTACCTTAAGAAGCAATCAAAAGAAGAGCAAACTAAAAATAATGAAAGAAAGAATATAGAGACTAGAAAATAACAACATGTGACACAAAGATACAGAAAATAAAGTATCAGCATATTTTAAAATAAATTGTCAGTTTGGACAAACCTCTACCTAGATTAAGAAAAAAGAGAGAAGGCAAAAATCTCTTTTTTTTTAAGATTTATTTTATTTATTTGAAGGACAGAGTTACAGAAAGTAGTAGTAGTAGTAGTAGAGAGAGAGAGAGAGAGAGAGAGAGGTCTTCCATTCACTGGTTCACTCCCCAAATGGCTGCAATGGCCAGAACTGGGCCAGGAGCTTCTTCTGGGTCTCTCATGTGGGTGCAGGGGCCCAAGCACTTGGGCCATCCTCTGCTGCTTTCCCAGGCACACTAGCAGGGAGCTGGATCAAAAGTACAGCGGCCGGGACTTGAACCAGCGCTCATATGGGATGCCGGTACTGCAGGCCGGGGCTTTAAACTGCTGTGCCACAGCGCCAGCCTGGTGATAGCCCTTTTAACCTAGGAAGAGGTTAACTTTCTTTTAAATAAATATTTGTTTATTTATTTGAAAAGCAGAGTTACAGGACAGAAGGAGACAGACACCCACACATACACACACACACACACACACACACACACACAGAGTGAGAGAGAGAGACAGAGAGATGCTTCATTCGCTGATTCATTTACCAATGGCTGCAACAGCCAAAAGTCTGGAACGCCATCTGGTCTCCCACATGGATGGCAGGGGACCAAGGACTTGGACCATCTTCCTCTGCCTTCCCAAGTGCATTAGCAGGGAGCTGGATCGGAAGTGGAGCAGCAGGGACTCGAACCGGTGCTTATATGGGATGCTGGCATCTCAGGCATCAGCTTAACCCACTGCACCTCAATGCAGCCTCTAGGCTAACTTTCAAGATGAACTCAACCCTAAAAGCAAGTGAAAGCCAGCAGCAATTTATAGAATCCTTCAAGAGAGACAAACACACCTATACTTATCTGCCACTACCCCATTGGACGATCCCACTTTGCTCTTCGCCAGTGTGTAAGCGAACCAGTTCAAACCTAGCTTCCCGAACACCACTGACCCGTCTCCCCCTACAGCACAGCTAAGCAGAGCTGCCAATACCCAGAAATGCATCCGGGCTGCGGGCAAGCCCAATGCCCTAGATGATGTGGGCAAGGATATCTATGAGCACACCTTTGAAATGTTGAGCACTGTCTTTGGGGACACACGTCAAGGAATTGGCATGTAAGACAGCTTTGCAGGTTCTCACCCAATAGTTTGGCATTGCAATGGAAAGACTTGATGTTACTTACTTTGGTGGGCACGAAGTAGCAGGTTTAGAGCCAGATTTGGAGTACAAACAGATATGGCAGAATCTGGGGCGGGGTGACACCAAAATCTTCCCTGACAACATGAAAGCTAACTCCTGTGAGATGGGTGACATGAGCCCTCGTGTTCCCTACAGCGAGATCTATCAGGACATCTTGTCAACCAGGATGACCCCGAGGTGCTAGGGATCTGGAATCTTGTGTTCATCCACTATAGCGGGGAGAATGTTGGTGTTCTGAAACCCATTCCTAAGAAAAACATGGGCCTAGAGTGACTGGTGTCCGTGCTGCAGAATAAGATGTCCAAGTAGGACATTGACCCTTTTGTCTCTTACTTTGAAGCCACTCAGAAAGGCACAGGTACCCAGTCAGACATTAGGGAAGTTTATGTGGCGATACTGGTGGGATTGGCATGGCCTACCAAGTGC